ACCCGTGGTAGGCAGAGCCCAGATAGCCCTTTGTGTAGCTTTGTGCTTAATAACAAACAACAACAATAATTGCTAAAAATGCTTTGTCCTTACGAAGGCATGAGTGGAAATGGAGCTTAAGTGTATTTTTTCATATAAAATAAATTAAGAGCTGTTTTAATATTACTGTTGTACTTTAAAATCGACGATTGTTCTTGTTTGTAACATTTCGCACAAAGCTACTCAAAAACTATCCGTCCCGAATTATAGAACTTCAGATCCACAGTCTAGCATGTAAACCATTTGGCCGCGCTCGCCGTAGAATTTATGGAAATTGAAAATGATAAAAACGTGTAAGCTTAGAAATAAGTTTGCAAATACAGAAGATAATGTGATTAATTCTGATTGCGTGATAAAATATAAAATGTACATATTACATATTCATTTCTAACATATAACAACAGAAAATTAGTAAGGAAGGTGAAAAAAAAATATCAAAGCCTCTTACTAAATGCCCTCCGGTGGTTTAGCGGTAAGTATGAGAGATTATCACCCTAAAAATCGGGTTTCGATAGCTGCAATTGGCAGAGCATTGATAGCCCATTGTGTAGCTTTACGCTTAACAATAAACAAATAAAAACTTACTAACAATGTCGTTATAGAAGACTTCCTCCATAATATTAGTGGCACTTCTTCAAAAATATCCCGAATAGATAAAACCGAATTACTGTCTTAAATACTTCTGTGTATTTTTACACAACTGCTATTCAAACGATAAAGTTAAGGTTTGTTTGTTTGTAATTATGCACAAAGCTACACAAGGGCTATCTGTGCTCTGCCCACCACGGGTATCGAAACCCGGATTCTAGCGTTGTAAGTCCGCAGACATGCCGCTGTGCCACTGGGGGGCTAAAGTTAAGGTAAATATTCGTTTGCTTTGACCTTATTTCAGAACTGAATTGATACGTTCTTTCTTAAACATCTTGGCTCGGAATTAATTTGTGCTGTGACTGCAACGTTAGCATTTTGTCATTGTTTCTCATAAAGAGTTAAGTGGTAAATAAGTAACAAATCTACTGCTTTTAGATAAAAAAATAACCTCGTAAATGTAAATCTCTAAATTCAGAGCGTAGATGTTTGCTTCTTAATACGTTCCAGATACTAATGTATCATCAAACCTAATATAAGTTACACTAATAGCAAAGTATTTTTTAGCATTGTGTTACATGGTACCTAGAAAATATGTCCTCAAAATTTACAACGAGAGGAATTATTTATCTCAATTTAATCCAAGTTAAACCTATAATTTACTTCCAATGCCTAAGTACAAATGAAGTTTTTTTTTATCGTTATCTTTTCATTTCCTTGATATTTTATTAAAGGTCTCATTAGCATTTGAAGATTAACTAAAAATATCATTAGGAAAAATTCCATTGAAAAAATCTCATCTTGGAAGTTTTTATTTTAAAACAAATCCGTTAAAGAGATCGTTATGCGCGTAGAAAGTCACGTTTTTTTCGATTTGCGAAATTTTTAGTGTTTTTTTACAACACCAGTTTATCCTATTCCGCAATAATAAAACGCATTTTAAACCACGTTTGTATAGAAATGTAAATAGCATTGCACGTGCTTTTTATTTGCTGTTGTATCAATGGCTTTGGAACTATATCAAGAAATTGTTGAGGCCATCTTTAAATTGATATCTTCATCGTTTTGTTTACGTTTAATTCAATTTATTGGATATTTTTAGTAGATATTTTAACATTTTTCGAGTAGTTTAAGAGTCAAATAGGTACTTACAATATCGTTGAACGTTGACTGTAAGCTGTGGATTCAACATAAGAAGCGCATTTGTAATAATATTCATATAATATTTTATTTTAGTGTTCCAGGTTATCCATGCGTAACTGCATTGATAGCCGAGATTCAAATTTACGATATTGGAGTATCGAGTTTGTTTTTGCATCTTCACTATACCATTTTGCTCTTTGTTTTATATACTTTGAAACTAGATCTAATAAAATCCATTTATTTGTTTCCATTGCATTAAAGGATCATACACTAACAGAACACGCCTCTCCCATCAACTCTTCGACATCTCAGGAAACAATTTGAATCTTTTCTGCCCTTATTATGCTCTGAAGTCTTTATGTATATATATATAGAGAGAGAGAGATTCCTATACCCTAATAAAATACCATCTCTCCAGTTCAAACAGACATATAGAATGTGTTATTTCACGTTCCAGCTGTTGAATACAGAACTTCTTTCTTTTGTTTCTTATACTCAGTAAAGACCGTATTTGTAATAAACCTTTTTTGTTATATGATAGTAACTGATAATTCTGAATAAAAATATGCGTATTTTTTATTACATCATTCTTTTAACAATTTTAATTTCAAGGTGATTTTTGTACAGAATAGATATAGAACCAATGCATCGGCTGCAAAAAAATATTATACCCATGAATTACTTTGCCAAGGTCACTCTAAGCTCATAACACCACTTTTTCGCTATTTTTCCTCTAGTTGCAGAGACTTCAGTTTCTCTCCTTTACTTCTCTTTTTTTTTTCAAGAAGCGCAGAACAAAATATTACTAGAAAATAATTTTTAATTTTACAAAATTTTGTAAAATATACAAGATAGCTCAAAGTGACAATGTAAATAATAATAGCTCAAAAATAGTTGAAAATGAATTAATGAACTAAAGAAAACCATGGCTGATGTAACGTTATGGTGCTCTGCAATCTTGGAAAAATACTACCATTAGAATGAGTCAAGAAACTATTCTTCTGCTGAAACTATGAAAAGACCAGTGTTACAACTTCCTCCTAAGCCGTCCCAGAAATGAAAAAAAAAACAAAGCTTCTCATAAAAATATGTTTGTATTTGACTTGTGTAATCCAGTTAAAACAAAGCTTCTCATAAAAATGTGTTTGTGTTTGACTTGTGTAATCCAGCTGAAACAAAGCTTCTCATAAAATGTGTTTGTGTTTGAGTTGCGTAATCCAACTGAAACAAAGCTTCTCATAAAATGTGTTTGTGTTTGACTTGCGTAATCCAACTGAAACAAAGCTTCTCATAAAAATATGTTTGTGTTTGACTTGTGTAATCCAGCTAAAACATAAAATGTGTTTGTGTTTGAATTGCGTAATCCAACTGAAACAAAGCTTCTCATAAAAATATGTTTGTGTTTGACTTGCGTAATCCAACTGAAACAAAGCTTCTCATAAAAATATGTTTGTGTTTGACTTGTGTAATCCAGCTAAATCAAAGCTTCTCATAAAAATATGTTTGTGTTTGATTTGCGTAATCCAACTGAAACAAAGCTTCTCATAAAAATATGTTTGTGTTTGACTTGTGTAATCCAGCTAAAACAAAGCTTCTCATAGAAATATGTTTGTGTATGACTTGTGTAACCCAGCTAAATGACAAAGAATTAAAAAAACATTGACATTGTTTGGTCAGAACGGGTCTTGTACATCTGCAAATATTTGTCCGTCCAAAAGATGACAATGGAAGAAATTTCATAAGAAGTTATTATATACGACGACTTGTTAATGGAAAAGAATTATTAATGCAGTGGGTTCAGTATTCTGTAACAGATGATCTAATAGCTTTTGCTGCAAAATTTTCGGCATGGCTAATTTTTCATTGTCATCGAACGAAATAAGGTCTGGAAATACATTTCAACACTTTTAAATTGACCTGAAAAGTGGCTAATCATCTGGAAGCATTTCAACAATAAAAAGAACTAGAATATCCAGTGAAATAGGCCTAACAATCGACACGGAAATTTTGTGCGTAATTAAGCAAGAGATAAATATTGACAAGATGCTCTTGAACGTTGCTTCTGGAATTGGACGCAAAGCTACTCGAAAGCTATCTTCGCTAGACCTAATTAGGAAGTGATAAACTAGAGGAAGGTCAGCTAGTCACCACCTTTCACCACTTCCCATCGAATAGTGAGATTAAGCGACACATTAGAGCGCCCCCACAGCTGAAAGATCATGTTCAGCGACGGATTTGTCGTTATATACTTCTTATAACACTTCTAGATACACTGTATAAAAATTGGTATTTTCAAAAGACAATATTATAAATCTAAGCTAGAGAAACAAACAAATTTTAAATGTTTCATAAAACAATATCTAATTACTATCTATATACTACTAAAACTCTGAGATTGTTTGTGTGTGTGTGCTTGTCTGTAATTAAATACAGCAAAAACGGCGCACAATACCGCCATATTTAAATATAAATGAGAAGAGAAACAGAATAAGTTTCATCAAAATCGGGCCACGGGTTACCGAGTTAGCCCCGTTTTTGTTTTTTTGTCACTTTTCGTACATTCCATTATTATAAAACTTCATTTATACAACAATATATGCACAACAGAATAACGGCACGGCTCGTAGAAAGAACAACAATAAAATGGACCTGCAATATTATTGGCTATTTGCAAATAGTAACTATCTAGACGAGGTAATAAAATAAAAATTAAGTCGAGAACAACAACAAAATTTTATTAAGGAAAACCTCTCGCAAGCATTGGCTATTATATTATTTCCCTGTCAATGTTCCCATCTTCATTAAAAGGCGTAAGATGACAAAAACAAGATCTTGAAGAATCTATCTATATACTACTAAAACTCTGAGATTGTTTGTTTGTTTATTTTCTCAGTAAAAAAAATCACACTACCGTTCGCACTCTTTACGAAACTTCTTACTTCACGTTTTTGAAAAACGAAATGGTCTTTCCGTTTACTCCCGATCAACAATCAAATATCATTACTTGAATTATGAATAACACGAATAGATTGAAATATTTAATTAAATTATCTCAAAATAAACCTTCATTTTGGTGCAATATTGGAATTAGCTTGAATTCTTCATAACCTCTGAATAGTGGTTGACCCAATGGGTCACGGTGGTCTAGTTGATAAATAAAAACCTTACTGAACTCCAACAGTCAACCATAGATTTAACACTTTAAATCTGCACTTAGATGGCAACCATTCAGCTCTAATCTGCTTCATAGACATTTGTTCATATTAATGAAGTTCTATTTAGATATTTTTAGGCAGGTTTAGGGATAGTTTAACACGAGTCATTTCTTGTCCTTGTTAGAGACTGTGAACAACACATTTACTTATTGGTAAACAATGTATTCGCAAAAACAATAATAGGAGAATTGTGGTTTTCACAAAAGGTAGAAACTGTAAAAAAAGTTTTTACATCTTTGCATTTTTATATTATTTTAAAATGCATTTTATTTCATGCACTCTTTTGAGCATTATAGGTATTCACTCTCATTTACAAGCTGTAACAAGTGAGACACAAATATTTAGTGGGTTTATTATGTACACTATGTTAAACTCTCTCCAGTCCACATTTATTATATTCAATACATGTTGTGGTTAAAAGGAAACAATGCTTTTAAATATCAGACACAAAACCCTTTATGAACAAGAGAAATATGAAACAGATCTACAAGTGTATGTTGGGGTGCTATGAACAACATAGTTTTATGTATGCTTAAAATATGGAACAACAAATGGGCAATTATGAGGAGTAAATCTTATTTTCTGTATGTTAAACTTATGAGTCAAAAACAATAAGCAAATTACTAAATAAATAAGAATTAGTTCATTTAGAAGGTTATAATCTCTCAACAGATAATAATCACAAAAAAAGCTTAGAAATATTTACTAAAGTACTAGAAAACTGAAGATTTGATCAAATTTAGATCAGGCCAAAATATGTGTTGAACTTAAATATAGATGACTATATATCATGTTCATGTGAATGTATGAAATTAATCAGAATTATATTAAAACTTATTGTTTTACCTTTTGCTGAAAGGAATAACAGGATCTGAGTACTACATGTCTGCTGTATCCTGTATCCCCACTCTTTGCTAGTTTAGCAGCAATAAATAGCACATATAGCAATAAAGAAGAGGTTCATTTGTAAATACAATTTTTTATTAATCAGTCCAATTTATAATATTTCATTGTAAAAGTGGTAAGTCCAACTCACTGATAAAATACTTTTTTATACTTCCTATTGAAGCTGCTTGGCTGGATTTTCAGTTTATGAATGCCATTTTACACAGTTAAGCTAATGGGTATATATGACATGGTTTGTAGTTATAGAAAACTTCAGCCATAACATTTTAATAGACAATGCTAATTTTGTAGAACATTTTCATGCAAACTTAAAATACTCTTATGGTGAATTTTTTCTTGTTTAGGTATTTTTTATAAGGTATTGTTTCTTATATTAGTTTGTAATGACACAAAAGCAAAATAGTTATTATTACTGGCAAATTAGAAAGTGATTTTCCTGAATTTAGGTGGTTTTCTAATGTTAATCAGGTGTTGCATTGTACTGCAAATTAATACAAATAAGAGATGATCTCATGAAAAAACTTGAATGAATCAAACAATTTAAAGAAAATTTAAGATTTTATATAAATTCTAGGCCTGTTTCACTTAATTATTAAGTTGACTAATTTTTAGGATCACTTTTTTAATGAATACAATATGGAAGGTGTGTCAGCAGAAAACAATGAGATTTATTTGGAACTGACTATTGAAAACTTATTAAGAGCCCTAAAATCAGCACATTCTGCAAAATCTCTTAAGATCAAGTTAACAAAGAAACGTGTGCCTTGTTTGACTATAGAAGTGGAGTTGGTGAGTAGAATGTAAAATAATAGTATCCAAGTATATTCTCTGTTGTTTAGAAATAGGAATGTAAGAAACTTTTTTCATCTTTAGTGAATTACATCTTCCATAAACATTTTAAACAACCTAATAAATAACAAAATAAATCTTTCCTCTGAAAAGATTAATTTGCATTTCTCAATATTTTTCTGTTTTTTTATATGTTTTGGATATTGTATTCTAATGTCAACTTTTTAACTAGTTATTATATTGCAGTGTAATTACCATAAACCACACGAGTTTCATTTGTTTTAACATGCTTGCCCATCTTTTCCAATTGTATGTAAGAGTTAACATTAGTTCAACATTGTGTGCATACATGTGTGGATATTTTGCATTGTCACCTTGCAACAAGTGGAATTTGGCAATTACTTTCAGCAATTTTAAGGATTATTTTTATTAATATTATAGCTAACCATATTCTTTGTAGTTTCCAATTAACTATGTGATATGTACTGTATGTAAAAACAATCTAAATTCATACCAATCACAAAATTAGAAGGACAAATGTGGAGTCCTTGTGACAGCATCCATTTTTCAGGTGTAAATAAGGGTGGGGAAAACTAGCTAACGTGAAAAAGTGTTATCCAATCATCTTTCAGTATATCTTAGTGATTATAAATTAGAAAAAAAGTAAGTGGTTGTAAATTGCCCCCCCCCCAAGACATGAAGAAAACAGACTGGCATGCACTGTATGAGTACTTAAAGGCAGGGTTTCTTAGTAAAACCCGTTAACAGTGTTTTTAAAAATTACAGTATTGGTTAGGTGATACTAAAATTTGCAAAAATTAAGTAAAATCTATGCCAACAAACAAAAAATTCAAATATTTCCTCATTTATTTCTTTTACTTGTCTGGTAAAATTGTTGGTGCTTTGTCACATTTTATTACTTTTATGTATTTATAAGAATTTGTGTTTTTATCTATTTCAAAGCTGTTGTTATTTTTTAATAGCCTTCCTTGGTGTCAGCATCAAGAATTGTTATTCATGATGTTCCAGTAGCTGTAATTCCTCGTAGACTTTGGGATGAATTCCAAGAACCTGAAATGCCCGATTTTGATGTTTGTTGCGTTACTTTTTCTATTTATGCAATATCTGTTGTTTGTGTGCATATTATGTGTTTTCTAATATATATATATATATTTGTGTGTGTGTGTATTATAAGGGAAAATGTGGATTTATTATTACTTATGCAGTTATATATATATATATATGATGTATTAACCTTTTTTTATACTGAGTAATTTAATTAGGCTGATACCATCTCTTTTGTAGGCTCTTACGAAACATAAAGCAAAATGATTATTAATTTTAAGAATGAGTTTTACTGCTAGGCAGGCCTCTTTCATAGTATGGATAAATTTAAATTAGTCTTTTCACCTGAAATACCAGATACTAATTTACTTGAAAATTGGAGATAGGTGTAATTAAACTTGTTTGGTTCTCTTATTTAGCAACAGCTTTGATCTGAAATCACTTTTATGTATCGGAAAGTTGTTCATTCATAGTAAAATGATGGAATTTGGTAAAACTGTAAAAAAAAAAGTATGGAGCACATATAAATAGTAATGTTGTTGTAAAAACATTAGTAGGGTTCAGAATTCTAATGTGTGGGACGAGTAAGTACACCAATATGATGTTTGGGCTTTCTTAGAGATTTCTACTGCACAAAACAAGAATCTTTCTTCCTTTTTTAAGAATTATCGATAGATATTCAGTCAGAATTTTCTGAATTTCCCCTAAGAAGTGTACCCTGTTTTCACTATTGCTAGCAACTTCATTACATTAGTGTGTGTAGAGTCACTGTAGATACATGAATATGTAGGTGCTACAGGTCATATAGATCAGGGGTTCTCAAACTTGTTGCTGCAGGAAAGTTTTAGGGTGGTCATAATAAATTTGCAATCCGTTACTCTACTCAGTTTCTGTAGATTTATTGGGTGGAGGGTGCGGAGAAAGGCTTTATTCAAGATGCAGAATGTTCATATGCTGAGAGAGTTTGGGAACTCTTGCCATAGATGATATGCATAACATGGTAAACATTATTAGTCACATAGATATTTACAACATTAAAAGTGCAATTTCAAATTTATTTGTTTTAAATTGTTCTCTTTCACTTGTACAACTACAACTACACATTTATAATAGCTCCTAGACAGTTTAGCTTCTGAGTAAGTAATTTGTGTGTGTCATAATGCTTTGTAAAATAAGTATTAATACTGAAATTTGGTTGAATGGACGTCAACTGCCAGTTATAGAAACACAAGTATAGAGGACAACATTTCGAAAGTCTTCTGCTTTTCATCTTCGGGTCAATGTGTGTTTGGTGTTGTCAGTCTTTATAGTATCCTGGTGAATTGTGGAGGGTGTGTTATGATTGATTGGTTTATCCCTGTTTCTGATTGGTGGAGAGACTTCCTGTAGATTCAACCAGTGATAGCCATAGGTTACTCACCTCAAATCTGGAATCTCTGTTTAGTGAAGGTTTTATTGTGTTAATGTAAAAGGATTCTTTAATTTTTCTTGGGTTCCAAAATTTGTCTGTGTCAACAATTCTAGTTTTTTCCCAGTCTATTTTGTGTCCAGTAGACACGGTTTGTTCTGCAATGGCTGAATTTTGTGTTTTCATGATTCTTGTTTTATCTTTATGTTCTTTTATTCTTGTCATGAGTCTTCTTCCCATTTCTACAATGTATGTTTCATTACATGAACACGGAATTTCATAAATGATGTTTTTGTGTTTCTCATTGGTAGATTTCTGTTTGTTTTTTACCAGAATGGATCTTAATGTCTTGTAGGATTTTCATCAGACATCTATGTTGAATTTCTTGGTTATACATTTGCAGGTAGGGGAGCTAAATGGTGGTAGTCTATTTCTTTCAGTTGTGGTCTTCAGAGAGTTTTTGATGAAGGAGGAGGTGTAACTGTTTTGTTTAAAGCACTCTGTGATCTTCTGGTGTTCTGTTGTGATGGATGTCTTATCACAAATATTTTCTGCTCTCTTGTTTAGGTGTTGGATTATACCATATTTTATCGAGGTTGGATGATAAGACTGGAAGTATAGGTATTTGTTATTTTGGGTGTGGTTTTCTGTATACAGTTGTGGTATTTTTCTCCCTTGTCTGCTGATGAGTATGTCAAGAAATGATAGGCTGTTTTGTTCCTCTATTTACATGGTGAAGTGGATTCTTTAGTCTATAAAATTCAGATGTTCTAGGAAGGCTGGTAAGTTTTCATGACCATGGGGTTAGATAACGGTGTTGACAGCATAACGGCTGTAGAAACTTGGTTTTATGTGTGGATGAGAGGACTCTTTCTTTAAAGTTTTTCATGAAAATGTCTGCTAGGATTGGAGAGATTGGTGATCCCATGGCTAAACCATCTGTATGTTTGTAGAATTTCTCGTTGTATTGAAAGTAGGTTGATTGTCTACAAATATTCATTAGTTCCATGATGGTGCCTATCTTCATGTCATTTCTGCGTGGTAGAGATTTGTCATTCAGCGGTCATTGTTTGGTGATACGAAGGGTTTCTGAGGTTGAAACATTGGTAACTAGGTCTGTGATGTCAAAACTGACCAGAATATCCTGGGATCTGATGTGTAGCTTTTTGAGTTGTTCTATGAAATCTGTCAAGTTGTGAATGTGATATTCAGTATTCCCTCATAGTGGAGATAGGATTGGTACCAAGAAGGTAGCTAGTTGATGGGAACTTGAATTTATACTACTGACGATAGGCCTTAAAGGTATATTAGGTTTGTGTATCTAAGGTAGTCCATAGAACTGAGGGGTAAAATTGTTGTTGGTTCCTAAGTCTTTGGCTAGCTTCTCATTGATTAAGTTTTGTTTCTTAAGTTGGTTCAGGTTTTGTTGATGAGTTTCTTTGTCTTTTTTATAGGGTCATTGGTGTTTGTCTAGTAACTGCTTGATCTGTGGTCCTAATTGTTAATGTCTAGGATGACTATACTATTTCCTATATCTACTGGTAGAATCTTGATTATGTTGTCCTGTTTTAGATTGTTAAATGTGCTACATTCCTAAGAATGTTGTAAGTTTGATGTCGGAATTGTTCAGCCATAGGTTTCAGGAAGTTTTGAGCAGCAGGTTCTTTGGTTGGAACTGTGATAGGTTGTATGGTGAAGTTTTTAACACATAGCCAAGAAATTCAACATAGATGTCAGGTGGAAATCCTACAAGACATTAAGAACCATTCTGGTGAAAAACAAACAGAAACCTACCAAGGAGAAACACAAAAACTTCATTCATGAAACTCCATGTTCCTGCAATGAAACATACATTGGAGAAAGGGAAGAAGACTCATGATAAGAATAAA